CAGCTCAGAGCCTGGAGCCTGTTTCAGGTTCTGTATCTCCCTCTCTCTCTGACCCTCCCCTGTTCATGCTCTCTCTCTCTTGGAAATAAATTTAAAATAAATAAATAAAGTTTACTTTCTCATTCTATTTTCTGCTCATTTACCTATATCAGAAGTTTCTATTTCTTTGTTTCTCTAAGTTACAATTTGAATAATTTTAGATTTAGATTTCCCAAGTCAGATTCTTTTGTCAGCTGGGTCTGATTTACTGTTAAACCCATTCCTTGAGTTTTAAATGTACTTATTATAGGTTTTTTCCCAGAAGTTTTACTTGATTCTTTTTTCAGATATGCTTAGGCATTCAGTATAGTATGTTTTCTACACACCTTTTCAAGTTTGCCTTTATTTCTATAAACATACCAAATATAGTCATTTTATAATTGCGTGTGGTAATTCCATTATCTGAAGCCCTCTGGGTCTGTTGATGCAGACTGTTGTTTCTGCTAAATATCAATTATGGTGCCTTGTTTCTTTGAATACTCAAGTCATTGTTGACTGAAATCTGTTCATTTTCCTTAACTTTACAAGGATCACTACAGATTAAATTCTCAATCATATTTTCTGTGTGAATTTGGGTTGCAAACTCATGTAAGGTTTAGCTCATGATTTCTAATTTTAGGGGTGAATTATCCTACAGTTTTACTGAGGGCTTGAGGTAGTCAACTTTTCTTACAGTCTCCTGGGAGAGGAGAATGCGGGAATGGCTGGGTTTTCTTCTATTTCACCTTAATTATCTCCAAGGGTGTCACTGGTGCCCCAGTCTTATGGAGGAAGGATTCTTGATAGACTCCTCACCAGGGTGGATCCTGGGCTTTATCTCTTATACCTTAGGCTTTGGCAGGATGTGAAACCAAAGCACAGCCAATCTCCCGTTTCAAAAAATCCATTCACCCCTCTCTCTGACCCTCCCCTGCTCACACTGTCTCTCTCTCTCTCTCTCCTAGAAATAAATAAAACATTTAAAAAATTTTTCTTTTAAAAAAAGGGGGGGCGCCTGGATGGCTTAGTCAGTTAAGCGTCTGACTTTCGCTTAGGTCATGATCTCGCGGTTCGTGGGTTCGAGCCCCGCGTCGGGCTCTGTGCTGACTGCCAGCTCAGAGCCTGGTCCCTGTTTCAGAGTCTGTGACTCCCTCTCTCTCTGACCCTCCCCTGCTCACGCGCTCTCTCTCTCTCTCTCTCTCTCCTAGAAATAAATAAAACATTAAAAAAAAAATTTTTTTTAAATCCATCCGGGGCTCTGCTTACATCTCTGAATTTCCACATCCACTCAGTTCCTGGTCCAAGAATGCTTTACTGTTTGGCCAGTTCGATGATGCTTCTAAGAAATTATTTTATTCTAGATTTTTAGTTGTTTTAGGTGGAAACAATAATCCGGATACCTAGATACCCCATGTTATTGGAAACAAAAAGCCTATATTTTTAAATGTTAAATCTTGCATTTCTGGGGGGCAAACCCCTATCTGCCATGATATATCGCATACGTCATGTACATATAACATTGAAAGAAGTTTATTGATATTCTTATTTCTTATATCTTTGTTTTATAGTTGATAATGTCCTATAATTTTTCTTTCTTGTCCTATGATTGACTTTTTAAAAATCCTGGTAATACCAGTCGTTAAAATGAGTTGGGAAGTGTTCCCTCCTTCTCTTCTACATCAAGACCCAGAGAGAGAGAGAAAGAGAGAGAGAAAGACAGTATGGGACTTGTCCAAGTTCAGGCCTAGGTCAGGACTAAGGTCTCCTGTCCCTGAACTCAGGGATCCTTCTGGACCCTTCATTGCCACCCAGCCACACAGAGGGTGTAGCCTGGTCACCATCTCTGCACTGAGTGTCCAGGTGAGGGAGGTGGAAATGAGTGGAAAACAGATGCACAATTGGATGGATGGATGGAGATGGATGGATGCATGAATGGATGGATAGATGGAGGTTGGATACATAGATGAATGGATGATGGATGGATGAAAGGATGGATACATGGATGGGTGATGGGCTTTCCCCACTCTGAGCTCTGTAGCCCACCATGAAGTAGGTGATTCAGTGCTTATGCCCAGCTTAGAGCCACTTCTTGGCTCCATTCTTTAATGCCTGGGAGGACCTAACATCTTTTAGCCCAGCTTCCCCATCTGTGCCCTTTAGGCTGTGACCAGAGTGAACATGCTCGGCACGGAGGTCAGCCCATGGCAAATGTAGGACATCCCATCCTAGACAGCAAGGTCAGGGCTTCCTTACCTGGATTGTGCCAAGGCCCTGGCGCTCAGGTGGAGTGGAGCCTTTGGTGTATGTGGTGGTGGAAGTGGGCTCCTGTCATCTGTTCTCCCAACTACTGCTGAGATGCCCATCAGCCAAACCTAGTGACTCATGGAGTCGGTGTTCACTGTGGAGGTGATGTCACATGGCCTGGGGTCTGGTCCTTGAAGCACTGCAGGTAACCCCATCCTGGAGTTGAGGAAACCCCTTCATCTACTCCCTGCCAGGTTCTCATTACTTGCCTCTCCCCTGGCATAATTCTCACTGAGAATTTTTGAAATTCTCACTTTTGAAAATAAAACCAGGAAAGGAAGATGCCTTCAGGTAGATTCTACTTCTGCCCTGTAACCCATACCCTCCAGCCAAGGGGACACAAGCAGAAATGACTTCCTGGAACTGGAAAAGAAAAATGGTCTGGGAATGAAATACAAATGGCACCTCAAGAAGTCACCGTACCCCACTGGCTCTGGACAGGCTGCAGAACTGGAGCTTCTCGTAAAAGTATCCCAACTGTGGGTCTCTCTTCCCGACTCCGCCTTCAGGGACACCACCTTCAGGGAGAGCCTGAAATCCAGCAAGCGAGTGAGCGTGGAAATTGGCAAGTGCTGCAATTCGGGGAATGTCAAACATTTACCAGCACAGCACAGGGCAGGAGCCACGGCTAATAGCAGCAGGGATGGGAGGGGCTGTACTGGAATTCAGAGTTGGGATAAAGCCAATGAGAGTCCCTCTTCTTTGTCAAGTTTATTTTATTAAAATATACAGGACTGAATATTGGTGGGCGCTGGGAACAGGAACCGCCCTCCCAGGCTGCGCCCAAGGGAGACGCTTCCGCCATGCAGACATGCGGCCAGTCCACGTCCCAGTGAGGGAGACAGACCCCTCCCGGATGGACGTGCAGCCAGTCTGGCCCAAGGCCAAGAGGGGGCAGCGGCTTGGTGGTGACCCTTTCCTATGGCCTTGGCCCCTCAGAAGCACAGCTACACCGGCTGGGAGGGCTGGGCTGGGGGTTGACAGAGAGGGAGAAGATCCCTGAGCCAGGGAAAGCTGATGCCCTCCTGGAGGAGGGAAGAAAGACCCCCCAGTCAAACTGGAGATGGGGTGTCAGTGCAACTCCGAGGGAGAGGACCACCTGTGTATAGGTGCCAAGGGTTGCCCATGGCCAAACCAGGCCAATCTCCACCATCCCACCTTTCCTTTGAGGGCCCTGCTCACCCTAAGGCCAGGCCTGAGCAGAGATGGGATGGCAGCCGGTGGAATGTATTGTATGGGAATGTTCCTCGGAAAGGCCCATGCGACCCGGGACTGGGTGCCTTCTTGGGGAGCCCTGGGTGGGTGGGAGCAGCCAATCTCTCTCTCCTGGAAGTTTCTGTTGGCCTACCACTCAGCCTCAGGCCCCTCAGCCCTCGCTCTTGGCTCTGTCTTCAGGCTGACATCAGCCTCCTCTGTCCCCAGAACGGGACCCAGTCAAGGAGAGACCTTGGGGTTTGTGCTTTTGAATGTTGGTGGACTGGGCCAGGGATGGGCTTTGCCCCACCGCTCTGAGGCACAGAACTGACCCCCATACTTCTTCCTCAGGGCCGCCTGTGTTGCGGCCGTTGCAACCCAGCCTCAGCCCACTATGGGGCTGTGATCTTGGAAAAGCGGAGTGTCCCTGGCCCTCCTTATAGGCTGCAACTTGAGCCGCTCTGGATGCTTGTGCTTTTGGTATGGAGCTGGGGGGTGCTGGGTGAGCCTGTGTGTGGAGGCATGGCCACACAGCTCCAGGCCTCCAACCAGGAAGTGGTAGTGGGGGGCTCATCCAAGCTGGGGGCCGAGGGAGACAGAGGCAGACAGGAAAGGAGGGAGAGGCCCCTTCTAAGGCCTGTTCTCTCACCTGGGCTCCCTGGCTCCCAACTCCTGGTCCTTGTCACCTCTTCTCAGGACCTATTATGACCTTGGAGTTGAACCCACTAGTGCTGAGGGGTATGGGCAGCCCCACCCACTTCATACCTACTGAGCTAGGACTGGGGTAAGGGAAAGCTGCTTCCATTTCAGTGGACTCAGCAGACAATCCCTGAGATTCTCCACCAAGAAACCCAAGCCCCGAGCTGGGAAAGCCCCCTTCCCAGGACAGACAGAAGAGAGTCCAGTGGCCCCTTATCCCCGGAGCGTGCCCAGCTCGGTGGAGTGGCAGGCATCCTGAGACCCCAGGGAAGTGTCTCCAGGAAACAGCACATTCTGTCTCCATCACCACCTCTTTCCGAATCCCAGCTCCCTTGATCCTCCTGCCCCTTCGATCGTCCTGTGGTGACGAGCGTCCCGGGAGTGTAGTCAGTGGGCAGGGAGTGGCTGGGGGACAGGAAGGCCAGAGTAGCCCCCGGAACCCGGCCCATGTATGGTGGGAAAGAAGGGGGGTAGGAGGGAGGGGCGAGGGGGCTCACACCAGAGGGGCCTTTGGAGACCGGAGCCTCCTCGGTAGGGGATCTTGAGCACTTTTCCTGGCAGCACCTGTGGCCAGCAGCCCGCAGACACTGCCCTTTCAGTGCCCAGTCCAGAGGCGGCCCCCCCCCCCCCCCCCGCCCCCGCTGGCCTGGGGCAGGGGCTGGCCCGGGTGTGCGGATCCATCCAGCTCCCAGCCAGACTCAGCCCCTCCCGGACCTCTGCCCACCCCCCAGCAGCCCAGAGGCATGGGCTGTGTGTGTGTCTGTGTGTGTGTCCAGAGCAAACTGTTCACTTTTTCAAATATATTAGAAAAAAGTTTCTCATGGAGGCTGCTCCTGGCAGGACTGAGGTTTCTTTGGGGGCAGAGGCGGCAGTGGCCACTCTAGGACCCCTCCCCGCCGACATGTCCTAGATGACGTTCTCAAATAGCTGCATGGAGCTCATGATGTTCTCGTCCTGTGTGGAGAGAGAAGGATGAGACAGACCTGGTCCGACCCTGGGCGGGCAGGGCGGGACAGCGCCCGAGTTGGTCCTGCCTAGAGCAGACTCTCACCAGGGACTCGGAACCCTGCGGTGACCACTCTGTCTCACTGGGTGAAGGGGCAGCTGGTCAGGCACAGCTGTCTTCAGCCCCACGACCTGACTGCAAGCCCGTCTGGGGGGGCTGCTGTCTCACCGATGGACACAGTTCCCCAGCTCTACTCAGATGATGGCTGGGGGCACCTGAGAGGCCACCCTGGAGTGACGCAGATGGCCGAGCCTGGTAGAGCCACATGTCCTGCTCCCGGTCATGCACAAGGGTGCTCTGCAGAGCAAGGTCGCCGGCGATGCCGGGGGAGGCTCCAGGTGCCTTTGTGACAGCGTGACCCTGTCCTGAGGGTCAAGGGCCCAATCATCCTCCTGTCGGCCCACATCTGTCCCCTCGGATAGAGGTACTATAAGGCCATCTAAGGGATGGGGAGCCCATGGGCTGTGGGCTGGCACGGAGCAGGTGGCAAAGGGATGGGCCCAGACACAAGTGTGAACGTGGGGTCTGGAGGTCGGGAGGAGCTCAGGGACTGGCTGGGGCAGGACCCTGGGTGTCCTCAGCTCCTGAGGCCACCTACCTTCTGACAGGTCTCCAGGAACTCATCAATGGTCACCACGCCATCCTGATTCCGGTCCATTTTCTGTAACCCAATCCATGCCCTCAGTGAGTCTGTGGGTCACCTCCATCCCAGCCTGTCCCATCTATCTCCTACCCTGGATCCAGGCCACGTCATGTGCCCTCCCTGGCTACTTTGTGGCACAGCTGCCCTCTCCGGCATCTCCACAGTCTGTTCCCCACACCCAGCCACTTCCTAGCAGCTTTCTCAGGCTTACACTTCCCAGAACGCCTCCCCAGGCTCATCTGACCCCCTTACCTCCCTGGCAGCCAGCCAGGGCAGATGGAGCAACTGAGGCACAGGATGGGCCACCAGCCAATGGGAGGTGGAAGCTTCTGCACCTTTAGTCCTCACGGACACAGAACAAAGGCACCACAACCCCACTCTCACAGAGGTTTTCTGGAGGAGCTGGGAGAGCTCTTGGAAGGCACCAGAACACTGGGCTGGTATGTCAGCCACTCTGCAATCTACAAGCCCTGGCTTGCCTTGAGATGAGGTTCAGTGGATGGGGTGTGTGTGTGTGTGCCAATTTACCCTCCTCGTGGGGGAGTGGGGCTCAGAGAGGGGAGTGGCTTGCTCAGGGCTGTCCTAAGAGGAGGAGCCCCTCCCTTCTCTGGCTGCCCTGCCCCTCCAGGCCCAGGGCTGGTGCACTCACCTGGAAGAACCTCTCCACATGCTCCAGAGGTGCATCCTCTCGTAGGATTGGGTAGGTGTGGCGGCCCATCATGTCATAGATGGACTTCATGATGGCCAGCATCTCCTGGAGAGGGGCCAGAGGCGCAGGCATGAGCCTGGCTGCAAGGATGTAAGGGGTGTACCAGGGCCCAAGGGGAGGGGCTGCCCCAGAGGGCAGAGGGCACAGCCAGGGTAGCAGTGCGTGAGCGGTCAGGGTATTCCAGCTGGAGAGAGATGAGCTCACCCCTATCTCGTCTGTTCAGTGCAAGCCTCTGATTCTCCAGAAGCTTGAGACAGATTTTGGTGTCCTGTCTCCCAAGTTTGAAATTGGAGTGACTGTTTCTCGTAAAAAAAAAAAAAAAAAAAAATGTTTGGGCAAAACAAAACCGGGGTGTAGATTTGGGTGGTGAGGGCGCCCACCTGCCTTAAGGGTCCACACTGCCCCCTTGACTGGGGGGAGCCAAGGCCCACCCCTCCTACCTCCCCGTCCCTAGCTTCTCCACCTGTGTGTCCCTCAGGACCTCCCTGTGAGAAAGAACGATCTGAGAATACTTGTTGAACTGGTGAGGGGCACACCAGCTCCCTGCACCCCGCCGCACCCAGGTCTTCAGTCCCCTCCAGGGCTGAGCTGCGAGCCATGTCTTTGAACAGGAAAGGGAGACAGGACAGCCAGGGGAGCAGGAGAGTGGAGGAAAGAGGCTGGGGGTGTGGAGCAGTAGAGAGGAAGAGGGCCAGACGGCCACGACCCTCAACTGGCCCGTACCTCTTTGGTGATGTAGCCATCCTTATTAATGTCATAGAGATTAAAGGCCCACTTGAGCTTCTCGTGGACTGTTCCTCGCAGGAGGATGGAGAGGCCAACCACAAAGTCCTGTGGAGGGAGGGGAGGGTGAGGATTTTATTTCTAATCTGCTGTGTGCCTTCACACCTCTATAGGTAAGGAGCCTTCATTACAGAGCAGGCAGATGATGTCCATTAGGTAAACATAGTGTGAGAGTCTGCGTGTGTGTGTGTGTGTGTGTGTGTGTGTGTGTGTGTTGTGAGGATGGCATGGTGGCTGGTGCTTATCTTCTCAAAGATATTCAAATACATGGTGTCTTAGACCCACTTAATGCATGGCTACTGAAAGAGAAGATCTGGGAGTGCTCTTTTAAAAAAGGGGAATGTTCTACTTTTAGTTTACCAAGTATCTGCATGTCAAGATGCTTGAAGACTTATGGGTTAGGGGCACCTGGGTGGCTCAGTCAATTAAGCATCTGACTTTGGCTCAGGTCATGATCTCACAGCTCATTAGTTCCAGCCCAGCTTTGGGCTCTGTGTGGACAGCTCAGAGCCTGAAGCCTGCTTCGGATTCTGTGTCTCCCTCTCTCTCTCTCCCCCTCCCAGGCTCACACTCTGTCTCTGTCTCTCAAAAATAAATAAATGTTAAAAAAAAAAATTTTTAAAAGAGAAAACTTATGGCTCAAAAGCTAAACTAACAGTGCTCAGCTTTGGGGTCATGACATACTTATGTGCTGCAATCACCTATGACGTGTGACAGATAATTTATTACCATGTTATAAGACATGAACGTTCCAGTGGCTTCTGTGAGAAAACTCCAACTGCTCCTGACAGTTGGTGGAAAGCAAACCCTTCCTTCCATTTCCCAGAAGGCTTGCAGGTCGAGCCTTCTCTGCCTCACAGGGTCCTTCCAGGTTATTTTGAAAGAAGGGAGCAGAGAAGGGCTATCCCGGAACAGGAAGTGGAGGATGGCAGATGCGGGGGAGGAGGGGGCAGTTACCATTCAAACATTAGATCTTCTATACCTGAAGAGGCCTGTACCACGAGAAAGAGAGGCTAAGGGGAACAGAGAAAAGCAATTTGGAAGAAACAAAAAGTATTCCAGGAGTTAAAAATGCAACAAAAGTTACTAGAAGTGAGGGCTGGAAATCTGGCACCCCTAAAGTAAGAACAGGAATAATTGACAACGAGAAAGAGCTCTTGGGAACTAAAAATAGGAAAGCCAAATGACAGACTCGGAAGAAGGTTTGGAGGAGCAAGCAGAATCTTCCATGAAGTCGCGTGAAAAGGCAAAAGAGCTAGAAGACAGAAAAGAGAACGAGAGGTCCACCAGAGAGGAGTCAAGGCCTGCGCGCCAGGAGTTCCCAGGAGAACTGAGGAAATGGAGGAGAGCAGGTTAGAGAAGACAAAGGACTCCCCAGAACGGAAGGCGGGAGTGTCCAGGCCCTGCCGAGGCCGAGCACATGACACACGTGTGCATGGAAACAGCCCACGGTGTTGCCCGTGGGTACAGGTCTTGATGGCATTTCAGTAAACTGGGTGAAGGAAGAGGGTCTTACAAGCTTCCAGAGAGAAAAACAGAACGAAATGGACAAGATCCTGTACACAGGGTCAGGGTCGGGCGGGTTTTGCCTCTGGAAGCAACACTGCAGGCAAGAAGTGAGGCCACCACCACTGGGAAGGAGGGCAACTCCCCGCTAGCTTTGCTCCTATACAGTGTATCGAGCAAGAGGGACAACAGAATGAAGATGCTTCCAGACATCCACAGGCTCAAAAGTTACGTCTCACATAGCTTTCCTAGGAAGCTGCTGGAAGCTGTGCCCTTGAGAAGACAGAATAAAGCAAGGGAGAGGGAGATGAAGAGTTCCAGAACCAGGAGACCCAACTTGGGGGAAAGGGGACGAGGTGGAGCCACTCGGAGGCTGGGGGGCCCCTCTGGAGACTGGAGGATGCCTGGAGTTGAATTAATGGTGAGGTCACAGACCCCAGACCCCAGGCAACTGAAAAACCAGGACCACTGTTTACTGGAGGCAAAAGAAGAATGTGTGGAAAAGAAAAACATAATCTATTCACCAGAAGGCTGAACCGGGCATCAGATTCACGTCCTCAGAGTCACCACAGTCTTTGTCCCACCTAAATCCTAACATTCTGGAAAGCCAAGGGATGGGAAAGGTGTTTGTGCATGGGAGACCCAGCTCCTCATCCCCACAGCAGAGATTGAGCGGTCTAAAGCTGGGCAGCCAGTGGGGCACCTGGGTGGCTGAGTCAGTTAAACATCCGACTTCGGCTCAAGTCATGATCTCATGGTTTGTGGGTTTGAGCCCCGCGTTGGGCTCTGTGCTGACAGCTCAGAGCCTGGAGCCTGCCTCACATTCTGTGTCTCCCTCTCTCTCTGCCCCTTCTCCACTTGCGCTCTCTCTCTCTCTCAAGAATAAATAATAATAATAAAAAAAATTTTTTTTTAACTGGGCAGCCAGGAAACAGCAACAAGCGTACTACGGGGAGACATAGAAAGAAATGGTGCCAATCCTCTAAAGCAGCAGAAGGTGTCTAAAGCCTCTCAGGGGTGTGGGTGGGTGCTTGACAGCTGTTTTTCCAGAACACACCCCGTAAATCTACTGGACTCTCAAAGCCTGGTGTGTATAAGTGAAGAAATTGAAAACGTTTAAGGAGAAAGGCAATAGTTCTTACATGCCCAGGTTTGGGGAATAATCACTGAGGCTAGCGCATGACTTAGTGAGGAGCCAAAGCATCCCTGAAATCACGTCACTGGGGTCTGACAGGCTTTTCCAGTGGGAGGTGAGGGCGCGGAGTCCCACTGGAGGCAGCAGGGAATGGCACGTCCTGCACAGGGCCCCATTCTAGTGCGGGCCACAGGAGGGCGCTGGCAACACTGTCCTCCAGTCTTGTCTGCACACACCCAGGCCTGCGGTGTAGAAGGCCTCCTCAGCCACAACCCCACAACTGAGGAATGTCTCCGTTCGGTGTCCCTAAGTGTGTGGGTAGAGCAGTGGTGACGGTACCCACAGGGAGATGAGTGGGAATGCCCTCCGGGAGACCATCCCTCCTCCACAACACACAGGTGACCTCATGTCCGGCCAGTGCACGTTGGAGTAACGTCATCGTTCTAAATTTCCAGCCCCAGGGCGCCCAGGGAGCTCAGTGGGTTAAGCCTCTGACTCTTGATCTCGGCTCTGGTCATGATCTCACGGTTCATGGGATGGAGCGCCGCACAGGGCTCAGCGCTGACAGTGTGGAGCCTGCTTGGGATCCTCTCTCTCCCTCTCTCTGCCCCTCTCCCACTTGCGCTCTCTCTCTCTCACACACGCAACATAAATAAACATTTATTAATTTCCAGCCCCACACAGCACAATCTCATGCGGAACCATCACCGGTTCTAACTCCTTGATCTTAACTCCGTGGCATACGACGCCCATCACATCTGTGGCTCCTGCTCTGAGGCTGTCCCTGAGGCTGAGTGCCGGGAGCTGAGGGTCTCCACAGTGGCACAGTGACACGCAGAGGCCTCGGTTTCCAGGCTAAGACACCTTGGGTGCACACGAGGGGTATCCAGTAGCGCACATAGCAGGGGCTCAGCCAGAGGGTAGGATTACAGGGGTGCAGGCATGAGCTAGTAACTATAACTCTGGTTACAGCGGTCGCAGGTGGCTTGGCCAACAAATGGCACAGGGAGTGGGTTACTGCAGGGGGAGATAAGGGAGACGCAGCCGCACCTTCCTCCAGACACACAACTGGCCCTAACTGTCCAAAGGAGCAGCCGCGTGCTGGTACACAAGTGGGTTGAATGAAAAAGGCCTTGGAGGCACAGACGGTGGTGGCCCCTCGTGATGTATGCACATGACCTCTGCCTGGGCGAGGAGGCCAACGCCAGGCTCCCTCCTGTGGGTAAATCTCAGAGGATCCAAGAGGAACAGAGCAGCGGGCAGACCCTGATGTGGGAGGCAGGGCCACTGCTCCCGCTTGGCCAGGATGAGGTTTGCTTGTGTGTTTCGTTTCCTGGTACTCTTTTTGGTGGAGGTAAGGAAGTTACAGATTTTATCATATTGATAAACTTTAATTAATAGGTGTCTTGTCTCTCAAAAATATTTTTAAAAAAAGGATTGGGATCATTAAAAATATCAATAAGCTGACCTGACTTTCTGTTTTCTATTTTTTTTAAGTTTATTTATTTATTTTGAGAGAGACAGAGAGAAACAGAGAGTGAGTCAGAGGGACAGAGAGAGAGAGAGAGAGAGAGAGAGAGACTCCCAAGCAGGCTCTGCACTGTCAGCAGGGAACCTGATGCGGGGCTTGAACTCACAAAACTGTGAGATCATGACCTGAGCAGGAACCAAGAGTCAGAGGCTTAACCGACTGAGCCCCCAAGGCTCCCCCTGACTTTCTGTTTTAAGGGCACATTGAAAGATTCAGTATGACGCAGTGAGGGGGGATGAGAGTCACTCCCACCTCTCAAGATCCTTCCAGCCAAGGGCACCCAGGACTAGGCTCTGCTGATTGGAAGGTCCCTGGGGACACAAGAGCCCTCCTCTCTTCCTGAAAAAGCTTTCCTAGAGCAGAACACTTTAGTCAAGAAGGTCCTTAAGGTAAGTAAACACTCCAATACGAAACTGGAGGACGGGATCTCACGGCAGAGAAGCAGGCGGAAGGCCCCGGAGGACGTCAGTGATGCGGCACCGGAGGATGTCAGTGACGCAGGACCTCCTGAGAAGGTGCCTGACAGAGGGGCTTCAGCACCAGTGCCCCAGCCCAGCTGCCAACAGCACACCCCACAATGACCCACCACCTACCTCCTTAAAGGGGCCACAAGACCCTTCCCTTAGGGGGTCGAGAGCAAACGCGATGGGAGGGAGGGTGATGGAGACCTTCCCACCACCCACCCCTCACTGGGCCCCTGGTGAGCTGTTTGATCACCTGATTTCCGAATGAGAAAAACTATCTCACAAAGCCCTGCTTGGGTCCATTACATGAGTGCTTTCTCACGTTTTATTCCCAGAACTCTCAGGTGCCCCTTCAAGGATACACAAGTGACTGGTCATGGGAGGCTGGGGAGGATGATCAATTTCTCCTGTGTACCTTCGTAATGCTGGGGTTTTTTTCTGTGGGCAGGTATTGCTTGAAAATAAAAAATGACGGCACTGTAGGTTTACACAGGCACTAGCCCCAAGGAGGTGGCCTAGAGGGGGTGGGGCGCCTGCGGTCACAGGGCAAGGCTGTGGCCTGGGGCCGCCCCACCCGGTCTGCCCCTGTGTCAGTGTGCCGGCCGACTGGCAGCATAAAAATAAACTGAGCGGCATTACCGACAGGTTATTATTACACCCCGGCTCGTCCAGGGGCTTTCTGAGCCCGGCCTGCTCATTCCTCTGCTTTCCTGTCAGCTGTCCTTGGCCCTGGAAACCGAGCAGGGTGGTTATCGATCAGGCCCGGCTCTCAGCAAGGTTCTCCTCTCCAAAGAGGTTTCAGCTTTTCGCCTGCAGCTATTTTTAGGGGCCTGGGCTCTGTGGACCGGGCCTCTCTCAAATGGTCCCGTGTGGCCGGCCTCGGTGGAGCCCACTGCAAGGCCTTCCTGGGGGGCAGGTGTGTGAGGCAGGCACACCTCGCTTCCCTCGGCTCAGGCTGGGTGCTCCCCCTGTTTTTTGGGCAAGGGGTAAATTCTGGGGCTGGGTGCCTGAAACCCGGCCATTAGCCATTAGTGCAGACCCCTGAGTTAATCCTCAGCCTCTTTTCAAATGCAAATTCACATTGCAGGTGTCTGAGAAGGTCCCTTGGCTTGGCAGCGCTGGAATGGGAACAAAGGATGAGTGAGAATAGGGTGACCAGACTGTCCCTAACCTCACTTAGGCCCAGGGCCACCTGAGCACAGTCTGCTCATTTTCTGGATGACACACTGGATCGTTTACACCCGGGATCATGTTTGGGCCACCGAAAGGCCTGGGAGGGTGGCACCCTAGGAGGCAACACCCTGCCCCGCCCCCCTCCCCCGTGGGCTACTGGGGCAATGGGGACCTACCTCAAAGCGGATGGCCCCGTTCCCATCGGCGTCGAAGGCGTTGAAGAGGAAGTGTGCATAAGTGGTGGCATCTGGGGAGAGCAAGGGCGAGGGCTGGGGTGTGTCGCCAGGAAGGCCTCCTGGCTGCAGTGCCTCTGGCAGGCAAAGGGGAGGCGAGGATCCCTCCCCCTTTAAAAGTGACACCCACTGTTTGTAGAGTTGCCATGGGGAGGGGGGCTGGGAAGAGCCAGGGTGCCGGGCCTCACACTCACCTCCCTGAGGGAAGAACTGCGAGTAAATGAGTTTGAAGGTGTCTTCATCCACCAGGCCCGTGGGACACTCCTGCAGCAGGAAGTCACCCCCTCAGTGGCCTCAGCCATCCCTAGTGTCCCACCCCAAATTCCAGAGGGCCTGGCCTTGCTCCTCCCTCTGGGGATACCTGCTGCTTGAGATACTGCTGGGCTCTACTGAGCTGGGAAAAGCCTGGCGGTGGGGCCCAGTGATGCAGGAGGGGGTGAGTGGGCGGGTGGCGGGTTGTCCCTTCATGCCAAGTCGGTCCCTCCATATGCTCCTCCCCTATGCCAGCATCGGAGACACACAGAATGGAAGATGATGCCTTCAGAATACTGATTCCAGGACTTGGCCCACCCCCAGACAGCTCTCCCACAAAACCCGAGACCCATAAAGGCCCCTGGGATATTTGCTGTGCCTTGGAGGTTTTTAGATCTCCCCGGGTCAGGGTCCTTCCTGCCTGAGCCTGGGACAGGACGGCTAGGTGGGTCAGGGCCTCTCCCAAGGGGATGGGGAGCACTCACGTTCTTGAAGCCCCTGTAGAGGGACTGTAGCTCCTTCTTGGTGAACTTGGTCTGTGCCTGCAGCTGGTCCAGTCCCTCTGGCTGGTGGCGCACTGTAGACAGCTCCAGCTCACTGTCGCTGCTGTCTGGAAGGAGACACAGACCCGGGAGGGTGGAGCAAGTGCCCCTGCTCCTCCTCTTGCTCCAATGTGGGCACCAGGCCATGGGCTAAAGTAGGGGTGGAGGGACTCTCCTTACATGACTCCCAGGTATGGCCCACAGGCTGTGTGCACTGCACAAAGGGAGGGCCAATGGTGGAATGACATACTCAGGAGCTGTGTCTCATGGCTGCTCTGCTCCTCACATAGAGAAGGCTCTCCCCATTTGCCTCACCTGGAGCATGTCTACCCCCTCAGCCATATGTGGGATGGAGGGGGAGCGGGAGCTGGTCTGATCCTAGAGATGGGAGGAAGAGGAGATGGGAGGAAAAAAGACAGCAAGACAAGCTCAAAGGACCCTCAGCCTTCAAGACCCAATTCCTGGACCACCTCCTCCATGCTGCCATCCTTGATTTCCCCCAGGAATCGGGAGGTCACCCCTTGTGGCCCATCTAGCCTAACATGCACTGATTGGCTGCATTGGTGTGAGGATGTCATTCACATCTGATAGGTCAGATCTCAAGGGCCCATATAGGGCAGGGGCCAGACCTATCCTTCAATAATAACACACCAAAATGTTAATTAACCATGGTTACCTTTGCAGTGGGGGGGAAAGGGGGTAAATTTCAGGTGATCTTTAATTTTTTATTTATGAGTTTTTAAAACATTTTTCTAATATCCTTTGCTATGCCATGTGTCACTTTTACAACACATAATAAAGCTACGGACTAAACAGCGCTGAGCACCTCCACCTTGCTGAGCAGCATGCTCACACAATTCTAGAACTTTCCACAGAAACGGGAAGCATGATCCCCACCCACAGCGCTGTCACCAGCCCTGGCCTCCCCTGGCCTCCTGCAAAGTGAAACAGTAAGCCCATGATGATCTCATAGCTGCTTGCTTGCTCCCATTGCAGGGTGAGTGCTGCGAGCCTCCCTGCATTGCTCGCTCTGTGCCCACAGACATGGAATACCGCCAACAGGAGCACCCTGAGCCCTGTGCAGGGCTACCCCATCCTGGGCCTCTCCCATGAGCACTGCTGGCTCTCACTGAGGGTGGCCCAGCACCCTGCAAAGGTGCCCAGCAATCAGGCTCTGTTGCCTTGGTCCATGCATGCGCCCAATCTCCAGGATAACTATTTCATAGCTTCCTTCTCTTTAAATTCCCAGTGCCTCCTCCCCCATCCTTACTCTCAGGTTGCTTCCTACATCACTGAGAAAACGGGGAAGCCACAGAAGAAAACTTCTCCAAGCTCCCACTCCCACATCTACCCGTCTGTATTGGCCCAAACATCCACTTTCCCTCCTTCTCTGGGAGCCAGCTGTCCTGGCTCCTGGTCAAGGCAAACCCTTCCGCGTGCAAAGTGGGTCCCAGACCCTCTCACTGTCTCAAGCATTTGACTGCAGTAAGTCTCCCCACTCTTTCCTCTTTCCTCATCATCTGTTTTTCTCTCCCTTCTGGATCATTCCCGCCACCACGTGGACATACTATTAAATCTGGCAATCCTTAGTCAAATTTAGAATCTCAGCCAGCTAAGGAGACTGTACAGTGATGTTCATGGCAATAGTATTTTTGATCGGGGAGTTGGAGGCATCCCAGGGGTCCATCACAGGCAGGATGGGTGGGCACAACGTGGAGGGTGTACCCCGGGGAGAACCATGCAGTGGGTAAACAGGGAACACAGCAGCATAAATGGATATTAAAAATTGGTTGCTTACTTCAGCTAAGAGGTAGACATCTCAGAATGGATGAAAAAGCAAGACCCGACTATATGCTACTTATAAAAAGGATACCCTTAAATCAAAGCCATGTATGTAAAATATAAGAGGGGAAAGGAATAAGAAACCTGGTGTGGCTATATTAATAATAGGAAAAGTAGACTTCAAGGCAAAAGGTACTACTAGAGACAAAGAAGAACATTTTATAATGATACAAGGATTAATTCATCAGGAAGATAGAGCAATATAAAATATATACATATACCTAGTAACAACTTTAAATACCTGAAAAAAATTCAAACTAAAGGGAAAAACAGATAAACCACAATTACATTTGAAGTATTTAACACCCTTTTCCAGTAAATGGTACAAAAAGGAAAGATACAAAAGATCTGAAAGACACTCTCAACCAATTTGATCAAATTAATATTTATAGAACCTTCTGCCCAACAACTGTAGAATACATATTCTTTTCAGGAGCCAATCCTGTGGTTACCAAGATATACCAGATGCTGGAATAAAAAGCAAATTTCTGACCACAATGGTTATTAAATCAAGATCCCAAAAAACAAGATCAGTAAAAAATCCCAGATGCTTGGAAATTAAACAACACACTTCCAATTAACTCCTAATGTCAGAGAAGGAAAATCATAAGGAGAGTTTTGAAATATTTTGCACTGAATGATAACAAAAATATAGCATACCAAAAATTTCTGGATGTAGGTAAAGCTGTGTTTAGAGGGAAATTTATAGTTTTAAGTTACTTTACTAGAAAGGAAGATAGGTGTAAAGTCAATGATAGAAACTTCTAGATCTAAGCTTTTCAGAATTCAGAAAAAGAAGAGCAAATTAAGCTTGAAGTTATTAGAAGAAAGGATATAATAAAAATAAGAGTAAAAATCATTGAAAAAGAAAACAGATAAACATGGAGGAAAACCCAATAAAGTTATTAAGTCATAGACTAGGAACACATATGTATGGTACATGAACCTTACATCTTATACAAAAATAAACTCAAAATGGAGTACAGATTTGAATATAAGACATAATTATAAATCTCCTAGAAGAAAAAAAACATAGGAGGAAATCTTTATGTCCTGGATTTAAGCAAAGAGTTCTTAGACAGAACACCAATAGCATAATTCATAAAAGAAAGGTTGATAAATTATACTCTTTAATAACAAGTAAAACTTTTGCTCAACATGAGATGCCGTGAAATAAAATGGTAAACTCTAGACTGGGAAAAAATATTTACAAAGCATATAACTGATGAAAGATATCCAGATAATGGGAAGAACTCTCGAAACTCAACAGTAAGAAAACAACTCAAATTAATAAGTGGGCCAAGACTTGGTCAAACACTTCACTGATGTTTGAAAGATGTTGAACATGACCTGCAATTGTGGAAATACAAATTAAAACCACAAGGAAATACTACTCCACACCTCTTAGAATCATTTAACTAACAAATATTGACAATACCAAGTGCTGATAAGGATGTGGAGTAACAGGATTATCATTAGACTTTGCTGGCAGGAATGAAAAGGACACTGTCAGCCCAGAAACTACCAGCTTGGCAGTTTCTTACAAACGTACACTTACCATATGGCCCACAATTCCTACTCCTGGTCATTTACCCAAATGAGATGAAACCTTTTATAGTTGCACAATCACTTTAATGCAAATGTTTAGAGCAACTTCATTTACAATCACCCAAAGCTGGAAATAACCCAAATGTCCTTCAACCAGGGAATGGATAAACCGTCTGTGGTACATTCAGACAGTGGAATACCACTCAGCAATAAAAGTAAACAAGCTATTGATATACGCAGCAACATGGATGACCCTCAAATGCATTAGCTAAGTGAGCTAATCCAGACTCAAGAGGCTATGTAACGTATAACATCTGGAAATGGAAATCACAGGGAAAGACAATATATCAGTGGCTACAAAGGGCTGAGGAGCAAGGTATGTGTTGATGACCAAAAAAAAAAAAGCAGCACTAGAGAATTTTTTGTGGTGATGGAATTGTTCTATATCTTGATTGTGGTAGTGGTTACATAATTACGCATTTGTCAAAATTCGTAGAACTGGGCACCAAAAAAGGGGACCTATATGTAGACTAGAAACATATTAAATAAAAACTAGAATAATTGCCGACAGGAGAAGGAAATGGGATAAAAGGGAAAAAAAAAAAAAACCAAGGAGCACCAGGGTGGCTCAGTTGGTTAAGCGTCCGACTTCGGCTCAGGTCAGATCTCATGCTTTGTGGGTTTGAGCCCAACATCAGGCTCTGTGCTGTCTGCTCAGAGCCTGGAGCCTGTTTCGGATTCTGTGTGTGTCTCTCTCTCTGCCCCTCCCCCACTTATGCTCTGTCTCAAAAATAAATAAAGTATAAAAATTTTTTTTTAAATAAACAAAATAAGAAAGGGGCTTTCTTTTTGTTGTTGTTGTTAAGGAGGCTTCTCGCCCAGCGCAGAGCCCAACACTGAGTACAGAGCCCAACGCAGGGCTCATGACCCTGAGATCAAGGCCTGGGCTGAGATCGGGAGGCGAATGCTTAAAGACTGAGAGGGGTTTTAAATGGGTCAAGATTGATAATGTCTCATGAACTAAAGAATATGAATAACTTCATCCTCTGCCCCTATGGGCCAAAATATAAAATAAAATAAAACAAATATCCCAAATTGTTGCTATTTCTTCCACTGAATAAAAAACAAGAAAACGAAACTTTCTTGACCCGGTTGTCCTCTCCAGCTATTTCTTTTTTCTCTTCTTCTTTAACTCTGTCTTTACTTCCTCTCCTATTCTCCCCTGAACTTATTCCTATGGGGCACTTACCCCACCACAACATACAAACAGCTTTTTTGAAGAATCACCAGTGAGTGATGACCATAGTGCTAATCCAGTGATCAATACAGGAATCTTGACTCCTAAATCACTTAAGGACCATACAAGAATGAAAATTACAGTGACAATATGTATGGACCTTGAGGACATTATGCTAAGTGAAATCAGACAGGCATAGAAAAATACTGTATGATCTCACTTACATGTGGAATGTAAAAAAAAAAAAAAGCCACATTTATAGACACAGAGAGTAGATTGGTGGTTGTCAGGGCTGGGGGATGGGGGAAATGTGGAGATGTTGGTCAAAGGGTATAAACTTCCAGTTATAAAATGAGTGAGTTCTGGGCACCTAACGTACAGCATGTTGACTCTAGTTAACAATACTGTGTTATATACTTGAAAGTTGCTAAGATAATAGAT